TTTTTTTAAAATATTAATTTTCTCCTGAAAATTTAAAAAAAAAAAAAAAAAAAAAAAAAAAAAAAAAAAAAAAAGGCAGCAATACCTAATCCTGTGGCTAATTCAGTCTGCTTGAAACTTGTGGTTGTGATTGCTCTCTACCTCGTAGATTAGTTTTACTTTTGTGTATTGTGGTGAGATGTTTAATGAGTGCTTTTCTTTAAGTAGAGGGCCTTTAATACAACATTTTCTAGATTCCCCCCCCGCTCCCCCATCACAACTGAAAAAAAGAAAGGATATGAAAAAATATTAAGAAATATGTACTCTAACCTTCACAAAACTAACACGCTAAAAAAGTGCGGCAAAAAGTATATAAAACTTTGGGAGTGAATCCCACAAGCACTTGTGGCTGTTTCTTTTCCACTATTTCCTAAAAATTTTCCATCACATAGGGTATTACTAAATATACATGTTCCATCTTTCTAAATATAAAATACTACTTGGCGTTCTGAGTTTGTAAGCGGCAGGACACTTCTCTAAGTGTGATACTTCTTAAGTGTATTGCACCTCATTTTATCCCCCTACTTGTATTTTGCTGTAAACTCAAATTTTTTTCCCAATTTACTAATATTTTCATGCACAGCATTTCCTGTTCAGCATACTATTTCAATGTCGATTAAAGAAATCTCTTTCTGTGTGTGTCTCCATTCGGTTTTGTTACTGTGAATGGAGTGAAAACGGTGCTAGACCAGAACCTGCAGCCGCTCCTATACCGATAGCAGAGTCCTCCCCTGGCAGTGTCCCCTCTCCCAGACTTCCTGAACACATTGCCGCAGCAGCTTCTGGGAGGTAAATCATTCAGAGGGGGTTTCGATGCAGTTAATGATCTATCTATATGTTGTTCTAGCCTAGATTTGTCTGTCTTGGGGGAGAGAGGGTTGTCTGTCATTCACTTAAAATAAACTTTATTAATCTACTGTGACTAGGGATTTTCCTGGAAATGGTAGGAGGGGGAAGGAGAAGAGAAATGAAATAAAGCTGAGCAGATTCATGAACAGTCTTGTGGATACCAGTTAATACAAGACAAAATATTTAATGTTTGTCAGTATGTTGTCAGTGGGTGTCCACCCTATCACCTGGATGGAGTAACTTTTCAGTGGTCTCAACAACTCAAAAGTGAATTCAGATTTCTTCAACACACAGAAAAGTGCCTTTAAAAATAGAAAAATAATTTTTCGAAAAGTGGATTATTTCGTTCATAACACTGTGCTGTGCTATGATGCAATGAAAAAAACCTAGATGATTATC